GACCGGTTTTCCGAGTTATCAGACGGGATGGGAATATGCCAGGTCTATCAAACCTCGAAGACGTTGACATATTGGCCTTTATAGCCGTTTTGGGCGACGTCCAGTGGACCACGTATATTTTATCTAAAATAGAACTCTCGCAGTTAAAACCAAGAACTACACGCAAGTATCGAAAGGAAAAGAAGATAAACCAACGCAAAAAGGCGACAGAGTTATTAAGTAATAAGCTGGCTGCGTGGCCTCCAATGGAGCCCGGTTAAGATCCACCGTTAGGTAACCCACCATGGCCATGCATATCATTGTATGCGATAAACCTCGATCGATCTGAACTCATCTCCGATATTTGGACAGTTTTACAGTTTTTGCTAACATGCCATCCTCGAAGTTTCAGTGTGCGCAGCATGACTTAGGCACACACCATTACTCAGTTGGAGAGATGGAATGCTTGTAGAGCAGCGTGGGCGTGCTGCTAGGATCTTTATCAAAAGTTTCCACAGATCTGCCAATATTTATCAAAAGAACCCACAAGCGATTTCAGAAACTAGTTTAAAATTTGGTTTTGTGTGATTATTCAGTTATCAAAAAAAAGGACTCTAAGATCGACCAAAAAAATATTTTTCCGTCGGTGTATATTTAAAGATGTCTATTTAAAGAGTTGCAGTCAATTTATCCTCCTACTGTTTAGTTACTCCAGTATTCACCATGGCAAGTGAGGAGAACGAAGAGGCCTCAGTCTGGCCAGATTGATCTTTTAACGAGTCATGGTCGCAACACAATACAGCTTTACGATGTCTTTTCGACTCTACCATTCAGTACTGCTTTCTAAAAGACTTCACGATGAATCAGAATAAGCCGGTTAAACAGTCATCGCTTGGATGTCTGAAGAAAGGAGGTGCACTGGATTCGCTTCAGATAGTGCGAGTGGTGTGTATGGTTAACACAAAAAAAGAGAAAGTTCGAAGAAAAAGAAGAAGGGAGAAGACCAAAATCCAACAAGTTCAAAGTTTGAAAATGTACCTATAAGTCGTGGTATGTCAGCAAACTGAATTTAGTGCACGCTCAGTGCTGCTCTGCAGTCGCTAACCTTCATCTCGCCAGCTGCCTTTGATGAGTGGACTTAAAAGTGCAATTGTGGAGGGGTTAAGCTCCGTTAAATCTCCGGCTTCTGCCGCTATCAAATCGGTGGACAACTTCAACATGAATTCTATTGAATCAATTCAGCTTTACATTATGCGGCTCCAAAAATCTGACAACATTACAGAGTATGAATCGACACTCAGCCTCATTGACGAAAAGTTCACTGCTCCGAGACAGCGGAAGCAAAATGATGGTACAGTAGAATATCAAATTGTTGCTGAATATCTACGGAGGATTCACCCAACTACTTGGACAAATTTCGGTATTTACATGCGACGTTCAGTGGAGGTGACGTTCTTTAGTAATAACTGGGAGCAATCTGACGCTTTTTGAAAACCTACCAAACTGTACGGTGTAAAAACAACAAGTGCAGAAAATCATGCTTTAATATTGAGTAACACAAAAATTAGCGAGGTTTTAATGGCATTTATGATTTTTTTTCTCAACGGGCTTCGGAGATAATGGCTGAGAAGGCTTCCATTTCCTGTAAGTGGAACAGTGAAGGTTCGAATGTCACCCCAGAGTCAAAATAGCATTTGTTAAAGAGATTTCTCGAACTGCGAATTGCAA